CAAGGCTGTGGTAAGCTCAATTTTGGTTGCCCGATTGCAGCTCTGCCACCGCAAATTGCCAGGCTGGCCGCTAACCGCAGTGCGTGCAAAACTGCAGGCAATCAAAGCAGTTGAGTCAGCGAGACAAAGGACCTGTTTGAGCTCTTATCTTGCATCTAGCTAGCTTATAATTATCGTGCCCCTTCTGCCACATATAGATGTGCCACTAACTGGTTTCCCCATCCGTCTTTCTCTTCCTCTATCTGTCTCTCACTCTCGCTGGGAACAATGCCTCCAGCTTGTCTGTCCTTGAACTATCCTGCTCCTGACAGCAGCTTCTGCCACGATTGGCGGGCTTTTCTGGAATATCCCCAGCTTACACAAAAACTAGATGACAATAAAAATCGACGTCCAGCAGCAACAATGATAATTTGGCATACGAGTGCAAACCAGTTTCGAGCTATATACATGAACTTATGTGTATATACCCAGTAGTTATGACAAAAGGGTTGAATGGCTCGCGGCATAAGTCATGCCATCAAATCCCCATCAATTATCTTCAGCAACAGCAATAGTATTATAGGAGTATTATAGTATTATATATATAGTATTAGAAGGAGTATTATAGCCATTATAACTATTCGAAGCCATGAGTATTATAGGCATTATAACTATTCAAAGCCAGGGTATTGGCCCGTCGCTCTGCCGAGTATAGCTCCATATTCTTGAATGTTTCATTGGTTTTGTTCAGCTTGCATTCCCGGCAGCGTGTAACTTTAGTCTTTACCCACAACCACAAAAAAGCTTTTAAACATTGTCAATGTATGGGAAAACAGAATTCATTTATAATGCTGAGACAGACGTAGAGTGTAAAGTGTATAAAAAAAAAAAAAATTAAATAAAAAGGACTGATTAAGCACAAATCAAGTAAGGTTAATGCCACAAAACTTGGCCACGTTTTGCCTAATTTACATGTACGTTTATTAGCTAGAAAATGTGCACTCAAGTGCAGTAAACACATATTTATATATCATAAACATTTATATGTATTGATATTTCTATGATGCTTATTTATAGCAAACATCCCATTAATAGCGCCGCATGGGCTAAGCGAGGGCGCGGCTTCGCCTTGGCTGTCAGACTTTTGTATACCTTTATGATTAACGTGCTAGTCCGCTGTATATCAGTTTATCAAATAGATTCAAAGACAGTTCAGGTGCTAATATTACAGCACTCGGTATTTGCATAAGTTAGCTAATCCTAAGCAGAATTGTCTGATGATATTTGTGTTTCCCATATCGTACTTGCAGTTGGCAATATGTCGGTCAGACTGAACGAGACACAAACCATTGTTGACAAGATGGTCAACTTCTTCGTGGAGCACGAGGATCTGCGCACAAAGGTCTGTAAAAGTCGTTGAATGGATAAGTTGAAAACTTTAATATATATATATATTTCTTTTTTGTTTTTTTTTTTTATTACAGAGCTGGTTCCTCTCGAATGCACCTGGACCGCTGTTCATGATTCTCGGCGCTTACCTGTACTTCTGCCTGTATGCCGGACCGCGTTATATGCGCGATCGCAAGCCGTTCGAGCTGAAGAACACGCTGCTCATCTACAATGCGGTCCAGGTGCTGCTCAGCTGGGTGCTCTTCTACGAGGGCTACAAGGGCGGCTGGGGCGGTCACTACAACTTCAGGTGCCAGCCCGTCACCTATGCCACGGATCCCATCTCCATGAGAGTAAGCTCTTATTGAGCTATTTAGTTAGTTGTCATAGACTGAATCCTCGGTTTCTATTTAGATGGCGCGTGCTGTCTGGCTGTACTACATTGCCAAGATCACGGAGCTGCTGGACACGGTGTTCTTTGTGCTGCGCAAGAAGGATCGTCAGATCTCGTTCCTGCATCTGTACCATCACACCCTGATGCCTGTCTGCGCTTTCATCGGCGTCAAGTACTTTGCCGGAGGCCACGGCACCTTGCTGGGCTTCATCAACTCCTTCATCCACATCATCATGTATGCCTATTATCTGCTCTCGGCCATGGGACCCAAAGTGCAGAAGTATCTGTGGTGGAAGAAGTACATCACCATCCTCCAGATTGTAAGCTTCTAGCTTTGAATAAGTATATGTTTTTTATTAACCATATTCGCTTCCCCCGCTTACCAGGTGCAATTCCTCATCATCTTTGTGCACACGCTGCAGATCCAGTTCCAGCCAAACTGCAACTTCCCCAAATCGATTGCAGCCCTACTGACCTTCAATGCCGGCCTCTTCACCTACATGTTCAGCTCCTTCTATGTGCACAACTACAAGAAGGAGGCCAAGCAGGCGGCACAGGCCAAGCTGGCGGCACAGGCCAAGCTGGCGGCCAAGCAGGATTAGAGAAAGGATTACAGTTGATGCTTTTATTTTTTTGCCTTAATATCACGATCACCAAATGCGAATGCGGCAATCGTTAGTTAGGTTTATAGCCTGTACACGTCTACTGTGAAGAGATCCATTTCAAGGGGCATAGCTCACACCCTTTTTGGGTATATCGTAGATCAAGTTGGGTGTCTGTACATTGGATATTACATTTTCTAGCTCTTAAGTTTCGTTTCGTCGTAGTATTTAAAGTCAAGTATGAGAATGTGAACAGTCTTTGTACAGTCGCCATTGCGCAGTGCAATCACAAGGCACGCGACGTATTGGCCAAGTATAATAGAACCAAATATTGTAGATTAGTTCATCGAAACGTATGTAGTTTTTATTTTATTGATTGGCGTGCAATAAAACTCTAAGACATACAGCAGATGGCATTACACCAAATTGTCACTATCAGCAATTTTATTTGCCATTTTTTAAATAATAATATATAATTGTACATTGAGAAACTTTTTAATTGTGTAAAATATGACAATATGTATAGATTTTAAAACAATAAAAAAAATTTAATCAAATCGTATGCATTTCTGCATGCCTGAAAGTATGCTACACGATATTCAAGGATGTGCAGCTAGTATTGAATATTCTCGCTAGATGGCGTGTGCGTGTGTAGCTGAGCCAGTTTAAAAAACTGCTTCGAGTTTTATGATGGGATTTTTGTATAAGTATTTAAATTTAATTTTCTGAGAAAAGAGTTTATTTTTAATGCACAAAACAACACGCGTTAAACTTTAAATGTTTTTGTTTTTATGGTGGAATAATACAGCAGACATTTGGAGAAAAGTATTTTATAACAAAAAGGAATGAATTTCATTTTTATAGCATCCATTATCGTAAGATATTTTTTAAATATAAATTTTGAGCATTTTTTAAATTAATTATACTGATTAATTGATTAATTATATTTCGATCTATATATATTTCTATTCCGTTTCATAGCCATAGAGCCCATTTCATTGACAGACTAAAAGTATGCCAGCAAAATTATTTATCTGAATATATGTATGTATGATACATGGTAAATATGTATATATATGTATTTACAATTGTACGTATCTATCTGTATGTATGTTGAAGTTGCAGGCAAATTGTATTTCAAACTAAAACTCGCCTCGCAGTGTTGGCGAAAATGTGGTGAAGTACAGACGCGTCCCTTCCGCTCGTTGGCGCGTTGTCGTTTGCGTTTTGTTTGTTGTAAGTGACACAACGTTGTTGTTGTTGTTGTTGCTATTACTCTTGCGGTTGCTGTTGTTGTTGCTGGTCTGGCTGCTGTTGCCAGGTAGTATATAGGTTTTCGTTTGGCTCAACTTTTGGCGTGCGCATTTTATTGTACTGTATTTAGGTTAAATTCGCGTTCGCGTGTGTGTTACAAAATGTTGGAAAGTGTGTGAAAAGTAAAACACATTAAAAAAGAAACACACACACACACACACACAGAGACACACACATGCTCAGACCTGAAATAAAAACAAAACAAAAACATTGCTATCGAATTGCTTTGTATTGTTTTGGTGACGTTGGAACCAGTTAAATGAAATCTGTGCGAAAAAGAAAGCGTTTTTGTTGAAAAAAAAAAAAATAAATAAACAACTCCCAAACAAATCAGCCCATTCGTATATGAATGAGTGTATGAGTTTTGTTTATAAATAGATTTTTTTTAAATATATATTTGTATAAATTTTGTGTATTCATATAACACGAATGATAAAGAAACGCTTACTCATGCACAAATGCACACATACATATAGCGAGACTTACACACTCACACACATCAGAGGAGTTTTCCCTCTGTCTCTGCTGCCAACCCTCTAGATGCAACCGTTGCAGACTTTGCATAGCCGTTTCATCTGCTCATCTGGCGTTTCCTGTGATGCCGCCTGGCAACAGCCAGACCAAGCTGAGCCACACATATGGACGCTACACAAACGAAAACAAAAACACAAGCAAAAGCAAAAGCACAAACAAAATCAGAGCCAAAAGGCACGACGCTTGGTGTTTTGAGCTCAGCTGGTCGCCGCCAAGGGGCAGCAGCAGCAGCAGCAGCACCTGAGTCCAAGTGTGCGAGTGCCGTTAAACGAGATCTGTCAGATACATTTGCATCAGTGTTAGCGAACCACACACATGAGCACGCACACACACACACACCTTGACAATAGTATCTGTATTGCCATACGAATAAATATCACAAAAAGAAATACACAAAGAAACTCATTCTCACACACACACGCCCATTGTGTATGTGTGTGTGTGTGCTTGAGCATTCAAATGTGTGTGTGCGCGTACCTGAGTAGCGCGATTCGCAAGCTAGTTGTCAGCTACCTGTTGATGCGACATGAGACTCTGAGGCCACTCGCTGCTGCTTGTGGTTTCGGCAATGCGAATCTCAGTGCAAATATCGTGCTTAGCCAATGCACACCTCGCCCGCCGCACTGTCTGCCGTCTGTTTTCCGCCGTCCGCATTGCACAAATGGCAGGTGCTAATTTACTTATCACAATTTTGATTTGATTAAATTTTATCTACTTACGGCGCACATGCAAGAGTACAACACACACACACATATTTCTCATCAAAAGGTTCTCTCTCAGCAGCAAAGCAAAAGGTGCGATAAGCACAGCCAGAGACAGAGACAGAGGCAGAGACAGAGCGACTGCGACGCAGCAACTTGGGGGAATGTTCAAGAAAACGCCAACTCGGTTTTATACCTGATCAGTTGAGCAGAGAAACGCGTCGTGAGCGCAACGTTGATATTCGTTTTGGCGTCGTTCACAGCAAACACGCGCGATTTTTCACGAGGCGTACGATACGCGTTCCCATTACCGCTCCCGCCCCCGCCCCTCGCTCATTTCCAATTGGATTTGATAGCCATACGTTACGATTGGCTTGGATTTATTTTCGTTTTGATATCAGCCTCTTGAAAATATATATTTATATGTATATATAAATTTATCTATATCATAAATATTGCCAACTCTTGACGTGAGGCTGGCCAACAGCCACGCGAGGCGTATACAAAACAACAACAAGACCAACAACAATAATAAAAATATTAATAATTATAGTAATAACCATTAAAATTATTATAGTAAAACTACAGTTGCTCGGTAGTCAAAGACATAGACCATAATAATCAAAGCGAGAGCAAGACACAATAAAAGTTGATCGAAAAGAATCGAGCAAAATTAGTGATAAAGTGAACCACAAACTGCGCCTAGAGCTATTCAGCGGGAAATCCCAAACCAAAGAACTGCAAGATTTTGACATCTTAATAAAATAAATAAATAAAACACACACACACACACAGAAAGGCAAAATGTTGAAAACAAAAACAAGCGACGATAAGCTGGATACGCTGCTCTCGAGATCTGCAGTGCCTATCATCGATCTGGCGCATTGCGGTAAGTGCGACTCACCCATGGCAATTAACCATGTACTTAAATTTACAATGCGCTCTAATCATCTCCTCGAAATTTGTTGTTGCTAAGCACGCTCCAGCAGCTCCAACAATGAATGGCTTGCCCTCTGACTCATTGCTCATTGCTGGATAATTAGCAACTGCTGTTGCGGTTGAGATTCTTTCGTAATGATCTCTGTATCTAGTAATTGCAGTTGCTAAATTTGTTCAACGCTTCTACTGATTGCAGTCAGGTTTATTTATTAACTTGAGCAACTGCCACCTGAAACCTCACAACAATTTATGCCGCATGTTAAGTCAATGTTAAAGTAACATAACAAAACAAAATATTTAACATCAATATTTTGTTTTGTTGGAATGACTAATCAACATTTTATTCATAAGTTTGCAAATGTTTATCAGAAGGCTTAGTGATAAAGGCGATAAAATAGTAAGTCACAAAACCTTTATGGGGCACTAAAGCGGCTTTAGCATGTTAATGGCTCACAATTATTTTTATGTCATGGCTGGTGAATTTTGATAGTCGGTGATTAATGTGGACAACAAATAACATATTATCTAGGAATATTATCATAAATATGTAGCACGTATATGATATACTATATCATCCAACGGCTATACAACTACTATAATTTGTGTATAAATTTAATGCCAGGAAATTTTTTTTTTTATCTTTTTTTGTGTTGATATTTTGTAATTACCAAAGAGGTTATAAATACATATTGCTATTGCTCAAATATATATCATGTATCAGTATTATATGTGGAGATAACGGACGGAGTGAATCGATGTCAGATGCCAGAATATATATACTTTATAGGGTCTATCACGCCTCCTTCTGCCTGTTATTTCCATTTCCAGAGTATAAAAATCAAATTAATCAAAGATTAATTGAAGAATTTCAAGCTGACATCTCAAGTGTTATTTGACAGATAGTGATATAAAATGATTTGACGCCTAATTGATGGAAGAAACTGACGCATATTTCGAGTCCCAATAAGAAAAATTATATACATAAATATGCTTTATATCTGGGTGTCACTTATTACAGGTGGATAGCACGCCAATTGGTATTGTTAACACATAAGTTATCTGTTCGATTTGAGCATGTATTTAGCACATTGGGTGCTGCCACGTCCAACGCATTCTTTGCTAGACAAATTGACAGCTTATGTGCTTGGGGGAGCTATACACGCAGCTCCCATCCGCGCCATGCCCAAGCGATGCCCAGTTGACCTTGGGCTTAGCACTTGACCTTCTCGCGACGTCGTTGTTTCCAAACATTTCAGCCATTGACCCCAAAAAAAAAAGCGAGTAAATAGTCAGTCGCAGCGCAGTTGTGTCAACGGAACTTAAATTGCTTTCGAGCTTGAGAGGTTTTTGAACTATGCATAAGACATATCAAGTAGTCCCCATAGTTTAGTCAATGCCAATGCAATCAAATTTAACTTCGTTCGAACTGTGCGGAAACTAAAACAAGCTGCATCACAATATTTACATTCAAGTTTTATTACGATTTGATTTGGGAAACTTGATTTCTTTGGTTTTTTTATTTGCATTTATATTTATATTTATTAAGCACTTGTTAAGGGTACCTAACTTTTGTCGTGCACTGTGTAACGCGTATGGAAAATATTTGTAATCCACTAAAACGTATATTGATTTAGGGGAGCTGAGCTTATATATCATGCAATCAACTTGCATATCAACTTCAAATATTTCCATACCTAAACAATCCCAATTATTGTTTTCAAAATTATTTTTGTTTACTCTTAAATCTCAATCAGCTTGCATTAAGTATTTTACTTATATGTATATTTGTTCATGGAGATGTAAATAAATAAATAATTCGTGCTATGTTTATATGGAAAAATCAATAAATGAAAAGTTTCTCATGGAAAGTTTTGCTATTTTTAAAATTAATTATTGGCTGTCGGAAGATTACAGCTTTATGATTCACCCAGCACATTTAGAATGCTCAAAATGTGTCGATTAAAGTCTTCGTTCAAACTTATCTTCTTATCAGATTGCTAGCGAGCGTATTTAGCTTTCGACTTGGCAGTCGTTGAATTGATTATTTTGTGTTGACATATTTATATAGTATATCTGAATGCGATTTTCACTGCATTTACTTACTGCCAGTGGGTAGGGGCTGGGAGGGCATTCGTTCGGTCGGACGGTCGTGCGGTCGTTCGGTCGGTGCAGTGGTTTGACAGCATTGTTCGAATTGTTGTTTAGACTGCTATATATTTACACAGTGCTCAAGACAAGCTGCGTAACAAACTGACAAACAAGCCCGCTGCTCGTTTCAAACGACGTCAGCGGAAAAGTGACGCATTTGGCAAGTGAATCCCCAGCTGCGTCACCAAGCCCGCGTCCACACTGTCCATTGTCAACTTAATTGAAACATGCGGCATCGTCACAACAGCTGAGTACCAGGCAAACACATCACAAGTAACAACCATAGCAACAACAACAACAGCAACAACAACGATAATATGAACAACAAACTGGTCGTTTTATTAACGCCGCGCTTCAAATCCAAATAAATCTAGCTTTAACCTGTATTCTTGATTAACTAAGCAACTTTATCTCTGTAGCCATTGGGCAGCTGTTGAATGAAATTTATTTCACTTCGGCCAATTGTTAAACAGCTGTTGGCAGAACTTTCGCATAAGCGAAGAAGGTTAATGTGCTGCACGATATGAGCAAATGATTTAGTTAATATAAAAAGACTTTCAGAACTGATCTAAATTTTTGAAAGTGAACTTTTTGAAAGCCCCTTATAGATATGCCTATTCATAGAAAGGTCTAGTTCGGATGTACTTGCTGAGCAATTCAAATAAATATTTTTAATGGGGTATTTATCATATGACAGCAGCAGAATGTTATCAGCAACGATAGATAAAATGTTGCAAACGCCTATAAAAAATAATGACAAAATGGTTTGTCCTTAAAAAAAAAAAAAAAAAAAAATCGCCAACGTGCAAAAAAATTTTAACAACTTTCGTATTTAGACATTTGGCTTCTCTGAAAGATAAAAAATTGCCTGGAATGCAATAACCATATGTTGCCTAACAGATGCCAAAATGTTATATCAATGCTGGACAAGACTTTGAAAGGCTTGGCATATCTGTCTGTGTCTTATCTAACAATCAAATACGTCAAAAATTCGATTTTATAATTTTGAAATGTTTGAAAATAGAATCTGTTTTTCGTTTTTAAATTGAAATAAATTTTATGTATTTCTTTTTCAAATTTTCTACGCAGAATATTCTTTATGCTCGCTGTGTTCAGCGTTTTTAAGCAAACACTTTAAATATTTATACGAAGTATCGATATTGGCTCTGAGCACCAAAGCGCTGTAGGAAATATTAAAAAATAATGCTCGAAATCCATTTGGTAGAGATTTGTTTTTTGCATTAATTAATTAAATAAATAATTGATCTAGCGATTCCTTTTTTTTTGCCATTATACATTTGATTTAGTTCATTTTTCAGTGAATCAAGGCATAATATTTCATATCATTTTTTTTACCCACTCTCGGCTATTTGGCCATCATTATTTCGACTAATTCAAACTTTTGTGTCCATTTAAATATTTTATAAGTATCGTCAGAGTTGTGTGTATGTGGTTTTCCCCCTCGACTGAATCGATTCTATTTAGCTGTGTGCAGACATTTGAGGGTATACATATAAAATTGCGCTGTATACAAGCATATATTTTTAATTAAATGCGTGTATTGAAAATAGACACGAAGCTAATCAATTTTTAGCTTTTCAATTGACCAAATGCCAGATACCCAGTAAAGTGGCACACATAAAATCAAATGAATCTATTCAGGTAAACTCTGCAGAGAAATATCTCATGCCAGAGTCATTAAGTATACAAACATATAATTATATATATATATAAATAGATGTATATACCCTTTACTAAAGCGGCCTGCAATGGGTATCTGTTAAAAACAGCCGGCGCGTTGCCAATAGAAATTCCGCAAATAACAAACAAAATAATCTGAGTGTGGAAAACAAAGCGAAACGCATCGACATTTGTTTATAGATCGAAGCGAATTGAAAGACCATAAATATCGAAAATGCTTATGGCATATAGCAATTTGTAAACACAAACAATTTGGCAACCGATCGAACTCTAATGCCAATCAAGTGTTTAGAAATAGAAATTCAAAGCCAGCTAAATCAAAAATCCTATTGCCTCATGTGGCAATGCGATGATCTTCAAGCGGCCTCCTGCCAAAAGCTCAGTGTTGTCTGTCGACTACCGACTGCTGACTCAATTAATTAGCCTCAATATAGATAAATTAGCAGCAAGTTAGCTACTAGCATGTGAGCTGTACGAAATTGTAAAATTGCAAACAGCCAACAGCCGCAAATTGAAAAGCGCCTACAATACAGTTGGCGCCTAATTGAAGTGCATGCAAACAACAAATGTCGGCCCCAATGACTGTGTCGCTGCCTGGTCTGTATATGTACTTATATACACATATATGTATGTGTGTATATACACTTCTGTACATCTAATCAAATGAAATCGAAAGGCGTCGTTACGCTTCAATTGATTCCATTCAACACGCTGCCTGCCTGACGACCTCTCGCATAGCTATCTCATCATCATGTAGTACATGAATGTAAGTCGAACTGAATAAAAGTTCCATGGAATGTACTAAAATGTACTACTGTACGTATTTGTCGCCTGGTGACAGAAATCTGTTTTCTGCCAAAGTGAGGCACGACACGCACTGATAACTCTGGCATACAACGTAATTACTATTAACCGTGAATTCTCCTGCTGCTTATCAGCTGAAAAACAGTGCGTCATGGTGTTGATTAGGGTGCTGTGGGGCTTACGTTAGGGGCTTAGGCCAGCTGGGTGGTCGAGCTGGTCGAGGTGGTTGGGCTGGATGGGCTGATTGGGCTGTTCGGGTTGTCGAGTGGGCGGGCGGCGGCGGCGCTGTGCGTTCAACTGAAATTGACAATTATTTATTTATAGATTGCTYATACGCCGTGTGCGCCAACGTGAACGTGTGGAAATATATTCTCAATTGTTAATATTCATTCATGGCGCTGAATGAGCAATTAGCATATTGCTGTATTACTCTCTCCCTATCTCTCTCTCTCTCCCACTCCCTATCTCAATTTCACTATCTGACTATATATATGTACATAGAAATTTTAAAATTCAAAATATCTCCTCATATCTGATTGCTGTTGTTTCTTTTGTTGTATAATGAGATAAGATTTAGCATTAACTTTGGACTCTAAGCTGCTGAACAGTGTTTGCTCGACTGCCTGAAGCTCTTGAGTTTATTCTCTTTATAAAGAATCCCCTCCACTTGATTTCCGCTCTCGAGTTTGCTCATTTTTATACCTTTTTGTCGGAGAAAACTTTTTTGTTACGTATTATGAGCGAGCTAGCTGAAAATATATATACTCTATACTCTCTCTATATGTACTATAAGTGGAGAGAGCTCATGTCATGTCATCCATCATTCATAAATTAAGGCAATCCTATACAGATTCTAGATTCTTTAAAGGCTTGACAGTCATCTCAAATATTCTAACTTTCCTCTCCTATAGAAATGTTCATATAATGTAATACATAATCGAGTATTTCTAAAATATTAAAGGGTATTGCTGATTCGACGTGCCGCAGATATCCGGTTGTTATGAAAGGCAGTTTTATTTTTCTCCATGATTTTCCGCCTGGAAAAACCAAGTCGCTGTCGCTGCAGCGGCATTGAAATTGATTGCATTTACCTTTATTGCATTTGCTCGTATTGCATTTGCCCGCATTGAGTGTGATGCATGAACTCAACTATTCGTTCGATTGCTTGAATCGCATTTATATTATATTGATTCCATTATGCCAGCCGTCAGCCTTTCGTTCGTTCTGTTTATCGCGCAGTAAGACTTAATTACAAATTCGAATTAGCGATTATTGTGCTGGCACGTGGATTGCTCGTTACTGGGCGTGTGGCACTTGGTAAATGTATTTATTGGGGCTCGTCATATAGTCCTAATACGTTTGAGTTTTTTTGTTCTTTAATGGGGGATCATAAAACCGTTGGCGATGTGCGAGAATTTTATTTATGGTTATTGTCAGCAGCTGGCCGAAGCTTTAGCTGTTATTGTTATTAGTTTTAAAAATTCTACGAAATTATTCACGCTAATCATCTAAAAATAAAGCCAACGAGTTTGTTCAGGGAAGTGCAATTTCGCCCCCAATTCGTACACGCTTTGAACTCATGATTCTAATGGGATTTGCACAATTACAGGTACCGAGGAGGTGCCCGTCAAATCGGTGGTGAATCGCGTGGGCCATCAGCTGCAGAAGGCCTTGTCCGAGAAGGGCATGGCTCTGCTGGTCAACCATGGCATCTCCGACGAAAAGGTGGCTACAATTCTTAGTTGCTTCAGTCATGCTTAATCTGACTCTGTCTGACTCTCTTTAGCTGAAAACGGCTTGGGACCATTTGGATGACTTTGTCGACCTGGAAGCGGATGTCAAGCAGCTCTACATACGCAGCGATGGCGACAATCACGGCTATGTGAGTCCGGGCAACGAGCGTTTCGATGGCAAAACACCGGAACTGCGACATGCATTCAACATTTGCACGCTGAATGTCCAGAATCTGCCGGAGGAGCCATTGCCCGGTTTTACGGATCATATAAGCGCACTGGCCAATGACTTTAAGGCCCTGGCCAGCTTTATACTGCAGGCGCTGGCCGTCTCGCTGGACATTCCGCCCACATTCTTCCTCGAAAAGCATTCACGCATGATGTCCGGCGATCACGACAACATGACCACTCTGCGCATGCTCTATTATCCGCCCATAGTGGACGACGAGCCTGGCCATGGCCAGAACGAGGTCATCAAGGGCCGTTGCCAGTACAGCTACCAGCGTTGCTTATCAGATCAGCCAGACTTCCGGCCCGAGCGCAATCCCCTGGAGGACGAAGCGGACAACGTGCAAACCAATGGCAAAGATGGCGAGATTGCCGAGCACAAGCTGCCCAACGGCGAGGTGATCCGCTGTGGCGCACACGTCGACTACGGCACCTTCACGCTGCTGGCGCAGGACTCTGAGGGCGGCCTGGAGGTGAAGCTGCCGGGCAGCGAAAAGTGGACTCGTGTGGGTCACTTGCCGGGTGCCATATTAGTCAACTGTGGCGAGATCTTGTCCATATGGACAAGGGAACGATATCCCGCACTGGTAAGCCAACAGCTCTGCACGAATATGCCAGCTCAATTAAATGAACTCTTTTGATTCCAATTGCAGCAACACCGCGTCGTCATACCCGAGCAGGAGCACATACGCTCCCGTGGGCGGCACTCGATTGCATTCTTCTGCCATCCAGACAATATTACAATGATATCTCCCAACGATCTGCCTCAAACCGATACCGAGCAGAACGCGACGTGTCTCAAACAGCGCAAGAAGTCCTTCAAGGCGGCGAAAGAGCGGTAAGCTTTGATCACACTCGTAATCTCGTTGCTTGTGAAATTTAACTAAACTTTGATTTCTTTTATGGGCCCGCTTTGTTTGGATTCATTTGCTGTTATCACACTGCGCCGGCCGTAAATCTATCAATATATATAAAGTGTGTACAACGCGTATCAGCTAATACAGAAAAAGTTTAAAGAAACTTACACCAATGGCAATCACTCGTAATGCCGTTGCGTCACGTAGTCGCCAGTCGCCAAGATCATCATCTCTACTCCTGCCACTCTGTCATCCTCTCATCAGCCTGTGGGGAGAGCTAACGTCGTACTTATATCAAAAGAGTTTTTAACATCGATAATACACTTGATGTTTTGAACTTTTTATTTTATTATTATATAATATACGATTGTAATTGCTTCATTTCTTTAGTTTGTATCATATGTATTTGATATACATACATAAATAATATTTATATACAAATACAATACATACACACAATGTTTTGCATTATCCGAGTATCAACATCAATTATACACTGAGAGAAACGCACGTTTTAACACATTTATCTTACAGCTAGGCGCTAGACACTTATTTTCAATACCTTCTCCTATGTTTATCTAAAACTCGACCATATCGCAATTCCCAAATTGACCGATGCTACTACACAACTGAGACCTACTCCTGCTGCTCCTGTAAACATTTACAAATTCTATATGTATTTGACTTTGACCTGATGTGGTAAGTTTCTCTGTTTGTTTGTTTGTTTGCTTTTTTACATGATTAAGATTTCTGTTTACAGTTTTCATTATTTCAACATTTTTCATTTGTTCTCATTTTTGTTTAATATAAATTCTTCATATACATATTCGGCTGTTTATCATCAATTCTGCACAATAAACACATTTAACAATTTTTTTTTTTTTATTTCTTTCCGTATTTGGTAATTATATTACTTTTTA